AAAAAGGTAATCAACAAGTGGACAACCGATGTTTAAAATGCATTTAAATTTTATATTTTTAGCATGCACATAGATTTCAGGCATACAAAAGAGGGTTGTATAGATTTTGTTTGTAGCGAAAAATATATTTTTGTTTAGAAAAAGGCGTGTTTGTTCTTGTCAAATTTGTTTTCATCAATTTTGAAAAGTGTAGTTGTTCATGAGTCGATTACGCTTGCGACCTTGCTTGATGATTTCATGTATAGCAAAGGGCTATACGTGGACGCTTATGTATCGCACATAAGCATCGAAAATCGAACCAAGAAGCAAAAAAAAAAAAACAAAAATGAGGTGAGAGAGAGGAGACACTAATCCACCTAAAACATCGGAAAGGGGGATGAATCAGCCCTCAAATCTCATGACGAAAAAACTTGAAAAAGGAGGCCCAAGATCCTTGAATCAATCTGAAAGGATATCACTTTCTCATTTGGAGGGAATCTCTTCCCAATCTTGTCTCAGGCGAATCGAAACGGGCCCAAGTCAATGTGGCAACTGTATGCATGGCTCCACCACTGACTACCCATCCACACACACCCAAGCCTGCGCTCAAATGATATCACAACTACAATGTCAAACTCCCGAAACATTCTTTATAAATTCAATTTATATCAACCATATGCTCTCCTGAAATAAAATTTCAAAGTCTTTCAAACTTCACAACTCGAACAAAAGGAAAGTAACCCAGGGACGACAGCTACTTATACTTCCAAAATCATGCCAACATTAAAGCCATCCAATTCCAGACTTAATTAAAAGCTCCTTATATCAAATAAGCATGAAATCATCCGGCTAAAAGCACATAAATGCACACGGCCAGACTCAACAAAAAGATGAACAACAACTAAGGCTCTCGACCAAAGCAAACCACAAGGAAGGCAACTACTAAGGCTCACGGTTTAGGCGATCAAGGAAAGGAGGGGAGCTGCTAAGGCTCACGGCTCAGGATAGTGAGGAGCGGCTGCTAAAGCTCACGACCAAGGTAAGAAACAGGGCCAAAAGAGGCTCACGGCCAAGGCAACCCAAATCAATTACATGAGGACCTTTGATATACATAAGAGAGTGCAAAACATAACCATCATTTTGATATGACTAATTTAATCCACCAACAATCATTCAAGTAGTTCAAGTCCAACAAGAAGGACTAAATCCAATTAAGGAGCCTTCAGTATGTCTCACGAGTAGGGATAGGAAGCAGCTCAGGACAACCACCAAGCCTTTTTAGTAGGGACAAATAAATATAGCCTCGCGGGTAGGAACTAAAGCCAGTAAAACCACACCCAAACTACCTCTCGGGTAGGGGCAGAACGAGACAAAATCGAGCTCCCAACAAGAGTAAAATCGAGCCGCAGCTAAGGCTCAAACCCAGGCCAGAAACATCTTTATGCCCTCAAAATATCAAAATATAGGGCTACCACATGTTTCAAACAAGAATAGCTATGGAACTCTTCCAAATCAAAATAAATTTCTTCACACTACGCGCTTTTAAGCCAAAAATGATCATAAAATGCCAAAATCGAGCCCCTAACAGGGGTTAAAGCGAATAAAACCGCACTCTCCCACAGCTCTTGAGCAGGGGCAGAAACAAACACCAAAAACAGACTCCCAGATAGGAGCTAAGGCCGGCAAACCAAACCCCCAAACAAAGCCAAACCGAACCCTTCAAGGCCCAAAAGTAAAATTCGAGCAGTTAGGACAAAGCTTCAACAAAAACCAAAAGCCAAGTCTCAACAGAAATTAAAACTCCAGTCACCTTAAGATAAAATCGAGCCATCCAAAGCCAAGGAACAACCCGCATGCCTTTGAAACATCAAAATATGGAGCCAATATACATCTTAAATAAGAACAACAACATAAAGAACATATTTGGGCTACCAACTTAACTATTCCAAGCATGAAACAATTTCTAACAGATATTTGAGCAGGAAAGATGTCTCACGAGGAGCTAAACTGAGCCATCAAAACAAGTTACAGAGCTTTCCAAATTAAATAAATTTTCTCATAGTATGTATTTCGAGTAAGGGAAAGCCACAGGAGCTAAATCGAGCCCCATACATGTATGAAAAGTAAAGTGAACTCTCTAGTATTCATTTTAAGCAAGAGTGATAATAACAAAAAGCTTTCCAGTGCATTCCAACATGTATTCCAGAGGAGCAAATCTCATTTCAAGGCTACATCTATATTACTTCCAAATATTTCAAGCAGAAAAGGGGAAAGCAACTAATAATATGCTCTGCTTTTTATCGATTCAAACAAATAACCATAACTGGCCCCTAGAGCATGCTCACATTTCCATTTCTAGATGCTTGAGTAATAAATATTTCAAAAATATAGGTGCAATATCACCCTAGCATGCTATATCATCCACAACACCAAGCTCAAGGGCTTGGCAGAGGGAAAATCGAAAAGAATCAAGGCACAGGGGGGAGAGATGGTACCTCCTTAATGCAAAACCAAAGTAAAAAAACTTCAGAAAAGTACTTCACAGCCTAACTCCTCTTCAACAGCAAGAGAAAACCGACCCAAGCACTAGGAACTAAAGAAGAAAGTGAGAAAGAAATTTGGCAGAGTTTTCCCTCCCACAGATTTATGACTCCAACGGCACAGGAAGGAGCGGGTGAGGCCCACGGGATCGAGAAATAGGAAAAAAAGGGGGGGAGGAGATAGATTTAGGTTTTTAAGGGATTATAAGTTATTAATTATAATAATAATAATAATATATCATTTATTATTATAATTAATATTTAACCGCGTATCTTTCGCCAAACACGTCGTCGTAGTGAAACGAACTTCCCCATAGGCAAAATCGACGTTCCGGATGCGTCAGCGCAGTCCGTTTCGTTAACCGAAGTCGTTTAGGTAACCTCGTCGACGATCGGGACAAAAACGCGTCGCGACCCGAATCTTGTCAAAATTTCGGCGTGAGCTCAATTAAACAGGACGGTGCAGAGTGTGACGACGCCAATTGAACGCGTATAGTCAATCCTAAGATCAACAGTCCTATAGGAATTCTCCTTGAGCACCCTCACAGTAGGTTAGAGGTCAAAAACTACCATGCGGAACGTCAAGTCGAGCAAATAAAAACTCATAATTTCTAACGGGGAGGGCTCCTTTGCTAGTTTTCTAGGAATAGTCGACAGGAAAGTCTTGCGTTTAAAACCTAGGCTATCAAAAAGGAGAGACTAGACATTCGCCAAAAGTGAGGTCAACAAGGGTACTACAACGTTTCGGCCATGTACAATGTGGCGGATCTGACGTCGTAGAACAAAGTTGTAGAATCTTCAACAGATGAAGTCGAAGTTCCCCCAACCTTGGGAGACTAATGCGGGGCATAGGCCCTAGCTGAATCGACCCTCTCTTCCGCTCCTTTGGGTGTGATTTGCCTCTCCCACACCTGCCCCCTTTTCCATGTTCGATTGCTTCCATATGGAGATCTCTGCCTATTCTATTTCGTTCATTTTCTCTCTCCTTCCTATTTTAGCTACTAATACCCCTTATATGTATGTTGTTGGCTTGCTTAGAGGATAGTTTTTGATTGATTATACTTTCAGATTTCTGTCCTTAGGTGTTATTCCTTATGTAGGGGCTATATCTGACGAACAAGTGGTGCTCTTACTGTATCCTGCTCCGAGGTGGTGACTACTCTGATCAATTCCCTTGCATACCTATCTCCCCTATGCCCTGCTCTTCAGCTGGAGTCTTCACCTTCCCTGACCCACCACGGATTCCTCATCCCCGCACTTGCTGCCACTGCAAACCCCACCAGAAAACCTTTTGATCATCACCAGCCCTGTTCCTCCCCTCTGTTGGGCCCTCCACCCGCCTCACTGAACCTTACACCCTTTTCCTATCTCTTCCCTGTTTGGCACCATCTCCCTGTTTGTTCCCAGTCGGACCCCAAGTTGGACTCCACTTTCCTATCACAACCGAAGCCATCCCACCAACTGCCTTACAACT